TCTAAAGATTATCACCTAAAGGAAAATGTGTGGCAGAAACAGCTCGTTGCTATCCAACTTCCCTTCTCCCCTTCCTTTGTACTTGTGAGGGGTGGCTACATGTCCGGGTGAAACTACCCAATTTCCCAGTCTCCTTGAGGCTGGTGTGGTGAGGAGGTGTGGTTCTGGCCAAGGCCATGTAGCCAGAAGTCTCTGTGGATGGTGCGTCCCTTCGAGATGACAAGGCAGAGACTCACAGGGAGAAAGCCTTTTACCCCTGTCCCTGGGCTCTTCGTCCTGCCTGGAACGCAGGTATGAGACCTGGTGGAGCAGCAAGTGATGCTGCAGCCACGGGAGACACAGGAAGGGGAAGGCCTCCCTGCTGAGGGTGGAGCAGGAAGAGCTCGCCTGTGTCCTGATGGCGTCACTACGCTCGCGTAGGAGATGAGTATAAGAGATGAGCGTAGGAGATGAGTCGTGTGCTGCAGCTCAGGTGAGTGTCTGAGATCCCACTGATGTGACACATCCTTTTAAAACATCATAGAGAACATATGATTTCTGAGAACACCTCCATAAACCCATTTGGGAAAACACTGTAGCAGGTCCTTTGTAATGTCAGGAGGCGAAGAATTGTGAACTACAGAGTGGGGGGTGGAAGAGCAACAATAAAATGACCTCCCTCTTTGGCCCCCACAGAGGCAGCAAGTAGCAAAGGGAGAGTTTTGTGATTTGAGATAGTGGCAAGAGTATCAGTGTACTGCAGGAAGGAAGGGTGACAGAAAAGAGTCGCTTAGGCAGGAAAAGTCAGATGTGTCTCTATAAAATCCCGCGCCTGCAGTTCAGTCCGGGATTTGGAGTTGAGCATTCATGAAAGGGCACGGGCAAGCAAAAGGGATTCCAGAGTTTGCTCCGGCCTCCTGTGGGGCAGGGCTTCTGCAGTCTCAGCACTCGCTCTGTTTGAGCAACAAACAAAGGATTTGCTAGAGCTATAAATTCTAGCTGAAGAAGTCTGTGTACTTGAGTTTCTCCACCTCAAGGACAACTTTGAGCAATTGTAGAGACTGTGAAATCTCTGTAAATAGCATAGCTCTGTGACTCGTAGCCTAGAAACTTTAGCGTGCAAAAGCATGCATGCAAAAACTTTAGCATACCAAAAGCTTTCATTTTCTTTGAATTGATTTCTGCTCTTGTCGCATTAGAGGGAAATTAATCTCAGTCCTTTTTGCTGTTCTCCAAAGATCCCAGAGTCACACATAGGATCAAGGCATAAGGGACACCCTTAAAGTCAACAGCAGGTGGTCTGTACTGATCACTCCCAAGATACCCATGTCCCTTTGTATCAGCAGTTCTGCCAAAGGCACAGGGTCTTTGCTGAGTCAGCCTCCCTCAAGTCACCACGGAGCCTTCTCCAGAATGTGGCCACCTCCTCAGGGTGCTACTGGGAGGGAGGGCGTGGTTCCTGCGTTTGAGAACCCACAGAGAGATGCTTGGGCGTGTGGTCTCTGGACAGTATTGAAAGTAGGAAAGACAAAGAGAAGAAACTGCAGAAACATCCAGAAGAAAAAAAAAACGAAACCTCAAAGAATCAGGGAAATATTAATACTTCCCTAACCGCTCCTGGGACTTGGCAATGGGCGCCCAAATCATATTAGACTCATACCCATGTGACACTTGTAGTCTGTGACACATATCTCTGCTTGCCATCTATTTGGTGAATGTGTACAGTTTATTCCATCGTGTGAGTTCAGCCCCACTCAGCTAACCCTCCTTTTCTCTTTATAAAGTCCAGTGCTTAAAAGACTTCTTCAGGTATTGTCAAGAAGGGGTACCAAGTCCAGGCGAACCCCATTGGCACATGCTGCTACTACACTGCCCGGACTGAGGACACCAGGCAAGCACACCCCCTGCAGAATTGTGCCCAAATAGGATTCGTGCCTGTTTGGGTGTGTCATTCCTCACAGAAATGTCTGTGAATGCACATTCTTGTCCAGTCCCCTGTCTTTACACACGAGAATGTTTGGAGAAGTTACCCAGCAATAGCAATTCAACACTTCCCCTTCATACGGTATTATCTGATACCGGAGTAAGCACGTGGCTATTTTTCAAATCTAGTCAAGACCGTCCCTATGATTTATCTCAAAGCAGACCCCTCTCTTTTGTCTCTATATGTCACGATATTTATTAATATTTCCTTTGTGGAGCTGGTCGCAGGCTGAACTTATGCTTACTTATGTGTTAATTTATTTGTTTGCCATCTTCGCCTTCTACCAGAATGTCAGTTCCTGGGGAATAGGGGTCTTGAGGGCGACACGTGAGACATGGTAGGTATTCAGCAGTCGGTGCGCCATGGGGCCTGCCATGCACACTCCCCCACAGGATCACAGTGTGAAATGGAGCCTGACACGCAGATGTGCCTTACCCGTGATGGCCCGGCATGGCCTAGGTGGCAGCACTTTTTCTTTCTTAGTGGGACGTAAGTAATGGTGCATCTTGCACTCAGTGTCATCTCAGATTTGATGGAATACATATTTTGGAATAAGTGAGTGGATGCATGCTTTCTTTTGGTGTTATTTCTTCCATTTTGTCTTGCTTATAAACACAAAGAAATTAGGATTCCTTTAATGAGTGTCTAGTATGTGTTGGGAATTCTTTTGGGAACACAGATGGCAGACTAACAGAAGTGAACGACATAGTCCTTGCCCTCAAGGACAAGAAAACCAATAATTACAGTGCAACATGCTAAGTGCTATATTAGAGGAACATGTTGGCAGAGCCCAGAGAAGACCTCACTCAAACTGCAGATCCAGAAAAACTTCCCCAGGGGTGAGGGAGTTGACCGGAGACTTACAGCACATTGGTGTGGCACTCTGTGTCACTTTCACATTTGTGGTTTCTTTTCATCCTTACATCAGCTCTGTAAGGTAGGAAAACTACCTCGTCTTAGAAATGCAAAGATGGAGGCTCAGAGAAGTTAAATAAATTGCCCCCAAATCACAACAGTGGTAAGAGCGAGAGTGAGGAGGGAGGAGGGGAGTTAAATTCAGGTCTCCTGGCTCCAGGATCACTCACTTCTTACCTCCTCTGGGCTGACTCTCAAGTGATGAACTGCTCAGCACCATCTTCGTAAAATTCATTCATAGGCGTGAAAACCATTACCCTTCAATCTTCTCTTCTTCAGGCTTGCAGTGACAGCACTGGGATCTTTCTTTGTATCTGTTTTGGGTTTTGAGCCAAATAAGAAAAACCAG